CCATAACGTATTAAATAGAAACGATGTATAAAAAATTAGGTGAAAATATTTATTATTACTTAATCGTAAAGTAATAAGAATGTGTCTTCATAAAATTAGCTATTATAAGATCTTATGAAAAGTAAATAAAAATTTAATCATAGTCAATCCCACTATATCTTCCATATTTAGTGCTGACGAGGCCTTTCGTCCAATACTTATTTTAGGACGCTACATTTATTAAAATCCAATAAACTAACGTGCCTTTCATTAGTTTTCTTATTTGACGTAATTTGGCTAGACGTTTAGGAAAGTGCATGAAATATATCTGGAAGTAAACTACTATGAATACAAATGTCTCAAGATTGATTGGAAGACAGCTTTTATTCAGGTGACCCAGTATGTCATTGCTTATTAATTCTTTTGATTAGATTTGAGTGTTTTATTTCATACATAGTATGTTGATCATTGTTCATTAAACCTTTTAATTAGATTCGAGTGTTTTATCTCATACCTATTATGTTGTTCATTATTCATTAAACCTTTTAATTAGATTCGGGTGTTATATTTCATACATATATGGTTCTATGAGAATTATTATATAATTACTTTATTTTTTGCTATTTGTACTTCAAATCTGAAAGTCACAGAAATCTGTTTCAATGGAATAAGTCTGATGCTCTGTTTCTCTGGCAGTTTTGCGTATAAGATTAGAAATGTTGTTTCGAAATTTTATGAATAGCTAAACTTTTAAGACTGTTTATAATTGTAAAACATTTTAGTTTTAAATACAATGCTCTCGTATAAAAAGAAATAAGTATAATTTTGTTAAGGGCAATGCTCAGATATAAACGAATAATACTCATAAGATTCTATAGATGGAACTTTGAAAGTTTGTGTTATCATTGGGCAGAATGATTAATACTTTTAGTCTAACAAAATACTAAATATGTGATTCCATCCATTTAACTATGACAAAACTCGATTTTTTTTCCTCTGTTGTTTTTCCTTCTTCTTCTTCTTATCAGTTGATAGACTAAATCAGTGAAGTGGATTTTTTCTACACTTAACGTGCTTGTCTTTGAAGTTTATATACAAGACCTTTTCATTTGGAATATGTAAACTAATACGAACTATTTTGATTATATGTGAAGAGAATTTGCCTACCAGCAAAATGAAACAATAAATAGAAATTAAAATGATCTATACTAGGCAAAGAATAGTTATCTTAATTCCTGTCAATAGTCATTTTGATGTTCTAACATTAAATAGAGTAAGATATGTGAAAGTACTTTAGTTCCGCACGTTCTTCCAGTGGCTCGCGGTAAATGACAGCTTAAACCAAGCAAACTCTGGTATGTGGTAAATAATTATTATTTTATTGCAAATAGGAACAGTTATAGTTTAAACCAAGCAAGCCAAATAAATAAGTCTTATTTTATTGTAGATAAGAATAATTATAGTTTAAACCATGCAAACTAAGGTATGTACTAAATAAGTCTTATTTTATAATTAGGGACAGGTATAATTTAAACCAAACAAACTTTCCATTTCCCATAATGTATACAATTTTATTACATAATTTTTCTGTATGGTGTGCGTAGATTTGAGGATTGTCGAATATGATAGCTCTCATTTACAATACACCTAAATTTGGAGCTAAAACAATGTAACTTCCTTAAATACTTAAGCAATTTAATGTAGGATAAGTTTTAAATTTCCCATTCAAAGATATCCCAATAAAAGTCATATTATTTTGCTACTCAGTGGGAATTTATTATTCATAATCGGCTGGATTTTATTATTTTGGGTGAGCTATGATACTGAAACTAGCAAATAAATTTTGTGAATGCGAAAATCAAATACATTAAAATGTCTTTCGTAGCTAGCCGTTAGCCAAGTGATCTTTACTGTTTGAATTATTGAATGCTTCTAACTTACAAGCTGTTCCTCCGAGTTCCCTGTGTTTAATACCAATTACCGATAGGGGGTGCTTATTATTATTGCCTCCATTATGTTGCTCTGAAATATCTGCCTTGAACTCTTTCTTACAAAACAAGTTTTCCATTAAAATGAAAGGAGTCTCCACTGTTACGAAACAGATGAAAGCTACACCGAAAGTCACCAACAGGTGTCCCAGGTAGGTGTATATCTGTAAATAATATATATATTTCACAAATTATGTTTTTAAAAACTTTTCTGAAAAGTTCTTTAATTGAAGTAACGTGCGAGATGTTCTGCTACACATAAATCTCATAAAAGAAAGTCCTCGAAAAATGAGTAAATATTTACAGAACTGAAATAAATCTACTTTGTACGAAGTATATTATATTAGGAATGAAATTTCATGTTACATAAACACCAACAAGGAGAAAATCATGAACAAAATGTATTGAATTATTATCCAATATTTAGATCTTTCGTCACCGCCAGACAGACATTAATAAGAATGATATTTCCAAGGGTATTGTTCAGAACAATAGCAGGAGTTATCCTAAGTGATCCAGGATTAGTGGCGATAACAGAGTTTCATATACGAATAGTATTGTACAGATATATTTTTAGACACAGTAAATATAATCCACAACTTTTCGAGCTGTCATCTTGTCTGGTAATATCTAATAGTTGTTAATGCAAAGTTTAATATAATAGAATAACAATGCGCACCGAATCAATAAAGTTGATCGCGTGGGACATGTGCAAACACCAAGTCGCGTGTAAAAAAAATAGTATCAATATATCTTCGTTGCTCAAATATCGGTAATCAAACGTGTGTTTGTTTGTTTGTTTGTTTTGGAATTTCG